CCCATTGATCGACCTGACAAAGGAAAAGACTCATTATAGAACAAAAAAGGTGAGCCCGCGACGACCGGGATCTGGTCGCGTGTCTCTTGTGTGCCAGAGTCAAGGCGTGAACTCTGCAGCCTTGGGCAGCCATGATGCCCAAGTGTCTATGAATATGCAGAAGTCAATGTGGTGGGATCAAGAACAGCTTCGCCGAGAGCCAGTGGCTTGCCGCTTTGCCCTACGACACGCAACCTTTCGCTGCGAGGTAGAGCGCGACAGTGCGAGGAAAGAACCGGAGGAGCTGAAACGATAGGCTCTAGAAGCTTGAGAAGAAAGTCAAACACGTTGGGGGATGGTGTAGTGGGAGGGATGGGGGTGGCAGAGGGAGTTTCAAGAACGAGGCTCAGCGTCTGGATGGAGCCATGTTATTGGTCGAGATTTCGACCATTGCACTAACCCCTTTTTGGCGACTGCGGTCTTGTTCACCTCAAAGAAATTTGGAGCATTGGAATTGGATGCTCGTCAATCCGTTTCCATGGTCTCGGACACTGAGACTTGCATTACTCCATTTTACCAGTCATGATCACAAGACCTCCGGCAAGGCCGCAGTCACTCCTGCGAGCCTTTGTCAAGCAAGCAAATGCCACGGTATGTACAGACAGATCAAATGTCTTGCTTTCTCCCAAAGAACTCGGAACTGACTGACCTTGCCTCGCCGTCTCACAGCCGTCCTCTTTCCTAAAGCGACAGGTCCGCAGAAAACACACCGTCCCCGTGTGGGCCAACCAGACCAAACAGGACTTTTTCGCACGCCACGGCGTCCCCGGCTTCCTCAGTGCAGAGACCTACCAAGAGACCTATGTGAAATACACCCAACACCTGTGCGACCGGCTGAACGAGCTGGTCTTGGGCACCGCGGATGAGTCGTCGTCGACATACGACCTGCACGCAAAGTGCGCCCACCGCTCCGATCGGGCGCACCTCTACAACCTCGCCGCCATGGTCGAGTTCACGCGGTTCTTTTGGGAGTACCTCACCGAGAACGAAGATCCGGCGATTCACAAGCCAGGCCTGAACACCACGAGGAGCATCGAGGCCAGCTTCGGCAGTGTGCAGAACCTCCGCGAAGAGATGCTCGAGACCGCCGACGCCATGTTCGGGAACGGATTCGTGTGGCTGATGAAGGGCAAGAACGTGGGTGACATGCGTATTCTGGCCACGTACAACGCCGGCTCCCCATACCCCGACGCGGCACCGAGACGGGACGACAAGGACATGGCGACCTTTGACGGCCGCATCCTCTCCGACCAGCTCTCCGGTCGAGGTGGCCTGGGGTTGCCGAGCTTGGAAGAACGAAACATCTCCACCGGGAATTCGACGGCCGGCTCGTTTGGTGACTTTAGCTCTTCACGGGCGAATCTCTACGCCGGTGCGCTGGACATGCAGCCCATCCTGTGCGTCAACGTGTGGGAGCACCAGTGGCTGAGAGACTACGGACTCCTGGGCAAAAAGTGGTATCTGGGCGCCTGGTGGGATCGCATTGATTGGCAAAAGGTGGAAAGTCAGCACGCCCTGTACGAGACGGGCGGGGAATGGAGTGACTACTGGTCGAGCGGCAGCAAGTCGCCGTATGCGACCACGGGCGGGTCGAGTGTTCTGGATGCTTTGAGGAGATAGGGGAGTGTGTAAAGGCCTGGGCTTGTATGAATATAGGGAGCTCCAAAAACTTCACGTCATTGTAGGACCAGCGTATAAGCCATCTGTGCGACTCTGTATCTAACCCACGCATGGGCTTTTCTTCCTGAAGTTCCACATACCGCCGAGAGCATCTGCCCTGTCCTTTGGCTTTCTTCTCGTCAACCAGGCACTCTGGCATTCAAGTGCACCTGGAGATTTACGGTGCGCGATGGCAAGCACTTTAGAGCGCCGCCTCAGCTTGTCATCTCTTGCAAGAGGCGAGCGAGCTACTGCCTCGCCGATGCCGTCAAAGGAACAGGTCCAACTCAAGTCGCCAGCCAATGGAGGATTCGATGCTGGGGATCGCAGGTGCGAGATCGCGCCACTAACCGTGCTCGTAGCTTCCGCATTACCATGGAAAGGCTCAGGACTCGCAAACCAGGCCAAAGCCACGCAATGTTGCTCATGCGCAAATACCACTCCTTGCCTGCCTGACAAGCACTGCTGATTGCTTCGAAGACGAGGTTCCATGCGCTGTGAGAGGTGCAAACTCCGAATCCATGCTGTGCCTGACGGGTGTTTTGACCAACCGGGCGGAACTTGTCTTGGTGATCGCCGATGCTTTCTTCAGTCCCAGTATCTAATCATTCCATCCAGGCCGCCCGTTGCGACTTTACTGCTCTCCTGCTGATGCCACGCCACACACGTCACTGCGCCCAACCCTTCTCCCCCGGCCTGAATCTTGTGCCACATCTTGCCCGTTTTCCAGTCCCAGAAACACACGAACCCACCAGAATCACCGCTCGACACGATACCGCCGTCTGGGGAGATGGCCACGTCGATCGCATACCCGCTGGTGTTCATACCCCGGAATCCCTTCTTGCGGTTCTGTCGGAACTTGTCGCCCGCGGCATACACGACGATCTGGTTGTCGGCGGATTGGAATGCTACGTACTTGCCCGAAGGATGGGGCGCGGCCCGCACAAGCGCGTACATGGACGGATCGGCAATGAACTTGATGGGCACTGGAATGCCATACTCCCACGCGCGGAGGGACTTGTCGTCGGAGGTGGATATGAATCTCCGACCCTCGTCGACAAAGGTGAGTGTGTTGATGGCGCCGAGATGGTGGTCGTATTCTTGCGTCAACTCGCCGGACCTGACGTCAAACTGGACAATCTTCTTGTCGGCCATTCCGGCGATGAATTCGTTGCCTTCGGGATGGAAACGGAGTGTGTGTGGCGTTTTACCCGTGGTGAACCGCGATATACACTTTCCAGTCTCGGTGTCCCAAAGCTTCATCTGGCGGTCATACGACGCTGATAAAAACGACCGCCCGGTGGGGTGGAAGTCTGTGTCTGTGATCGCCTTGTTGTGGCCTGAGAATGTGCGGAGGAGTGTCCGGTCGTGGTGAGCATCCCACAGCGCCAGCTTTGCATCCGCCGACGAGGATAAGAGCAGGTGCGATGACTTGGGAATGAATCGTAGAGAGGTGATGGGTTTCGTGTGGTACTTGTAGACATGTATCAGCTTCTTCGGCACGTAGTTCTGTATTGAGCCCGGCTCTTTGCGCAGGTCGACGTCCAGGTCCTGTGGTACGTGCATATATGTCCGTCCTTGGTAATCGAATTCTGAAGCACCATGGAACTCGGTCGTCTCGGCACCATTCAAATCGTCCGCGTAGCCAGTGGCCTCCTTGGGCGGCGCAGGCAGTGGCGTGGGAACAATGCCCTCTTCCACCCATTCCTCGTCAGAGGCGAGTTCCTGATCGGCCGCCGCCTCGGCTTGCTCGTAGGACACGTCGTCACTCTGATATTTTGCCCAGGGACCAAGGTACGCGCCCTCACCGTCGACGATCCTGCTGTCTCCCTTTTTCTGCCTTTTGGACCGGATCGCCGCACTCTCCTCTTTGGAGTAGCGCAGCTGGACGACATCTTTGCCGCCGTATTTTGCGACGGCCGACTGATTGCCCACAAAGGCTCCGTTGAGCGAAGGATCCTTGGTGTACCCGAGACTCTGGTATGTGCGGTGTTGGGTCTTGAAGGTGGCTTCGGACATGGACGTCTCCTCGGCGTTGCCGGTGAGTACGTTCTTGCGTTTCAGGACGTTGCCGGCTGTCGACTTGAAGGGGTTGGAAGGTCCCTGTGCGGGGCGGGCGAGGTTGTCGTACGTGACATTATAGGTGAGGGCGTTGCTCGATGGGTTCGCCAACATGACTTGCATCTGCGACACGTCCTGCGCAGCGTTAGACGGACCACCACGTCGCCCAACGAATGAAGACCAAACCTCTGTCGAGACGTCGGGAGCCGCGTTCACCCCGGACTGTTTCTGAGCGGGGCCGCGGGTCGCGGGGCTCTTCTCATCATCGCTCGAATCATATGCGGATCCCAGGAGGGCGGACATCTTGACCGAAGGCCTTTTGGAGGCCTAGAAACCGGGTGAAGCAGAAGCGGCCTTGTTGTCAAGTCGTCCCGGTCTCCAGACATGGGAAAAACTTCGGCACCAGGAAAATGGCGTCGGCCAAGGCGCACATGTCTCGGAACACTTGCCTTTCTAGACAAACTACCATGCAACCAATGCGACGCATGTGTATCAGGAGCAGTCGAAGAAATCTATTGAATGCATTTATCATTCTCTACCGTACTGTTCGGTGCTACGTGCGATATTCATGTCTACAGTTTCTGAGAGACAATTGGGGCGTTCACAGACTCAGCTGTAGGACGGAAAGATTGTGGCTTTCTCTCATTTTCTGCAAACCAGGAGTGATGAACCATCCTTGCAACGCCGCGCAAATAACTCTACCACAAATCCTCCACCGGCCTAAACAGATCGGACCTCTTCTTTCTCATCGTATCTCGTGTCTCGGCTGTACAAGTCGAGTGGCAGACAGATAAACCAACCACATAGTTTTAAGAAATTCCGTCCTTCCAAAATTTTGACCATGTGAGAGTCTTCGGCCTTTGCCTGCCATCGCTTCTTGCACCGCCCTTTGTGCAATAAATGAATCGCTAGTGGGACCATCGCTCTGTCCTTTGATCATGCCGACAACCCAGGCAGGAAAGGCTTGTGGGATTGATATCGCCACTGGCCCGTGGCTCGTTCTCGACCATTGCCACTTTCCATATCATCAGCCTTTTTCCACCACTAAAGCTCACCGTTTGGCTCTCGCGATGCGATTGCGGAGCAGCAAACGATCATCAGGAGTAACTGCCGTGACTCATGACATGTGACATTTCTCCACGTAGTCAGTTGGACTCATCCCGGATCAAAGCCACAATCATGCTGTAAAGATAGAAGAAAAACATGATCAAGTGGAAACCAAGTTTGATGAACGATTCCTGTCAAGGATTCAGCATTAGTAAACGAGACACGTCATCGGGCCCAGAGGCTGTACATGCCTTTTTATGGACGTTCAACTTTCGGAAGATCTCTGTGGCGTCAAGTAGATGCTGGTTCTCGATGATTCTACCACGGATTGTGTTAGTGCCTGCCACGCAGTGCAAGCTTTAAGATCGGTATGGGACACCCACTTTTTCGCATTGAACGCCAGGAGCGGTAGATTCAACAGAATGGCCAACCAGTATCCATTGATAAGGAAGAGGAATGTCAAGAAGGCGTGGACGGCAGCTTCGGGAACAATGTAGGTGTTGAGACGGTTGCAGAGGTCGATCGGGTTGATGTAGTCACTGAGGAGAGTCAGTGGGGATTGTCTTTGGAGCTGGGGAAGTATTCTGCCTACCACTCGAGATCGCTGTACATGATGGTGAAGAAGACTTGCAGGAAGAGGTTGACGGCATTTATTAGGACGGCGAGCAGGTATAACCACGCCTCGCCCGACATTTTGGAGGTGTATCTTGACTACAGCAGTGGCAGCAGGATAGGAATGCACAAAGCCTAACCGGTGACTGTCGCGAGCTCAAACACAGTGTACAGAAGCCGCGAGGTGCGCACAGAGAGAGTCGGGGTCGAGCTCTGCAGGGCTGGGCAGGGCGGGGATGAGGCAAGGAAGGGAAGAAGGCGAGAGCACGGCGCAGACCAAGCGCAGGTGGAAATTTACGTAGTCGCGGACGGTGGGATCTTGAAGGACAAGCTGGCCTTGGTGAAGGGTTGAGTGTGTGGAGTGAGGTAGGCGCAGGATGGTGGTGGGCAGAAGGGCAGAATAGGTACCAGTGGCAGGACGCAAGTGCGAAATGGTCAATGAGATCAGTCGTGGGGAAAGACGCAAAATTCACCGAAATTCCAGGTTGTTGGCAGCTGCGGGTTGGATGGAGCCGCGGACTGTTTGCCTCGCCGTAGCTTTTGCACGATTCGCCACATGGAATTCACCGTATCATCACTTTCATTTACAACTTCCATTCGCAGCATGACTTGAAGAGTAGCGTCTTTCATCTTGCCACTGGCTGACAATTCGTTTCACATTTGTCATCAGTTACATATCATGAGGGATTGGCAGAAATGTCATGTCCAGCATGTCTTATCTTGGTGGTCCTTGATGTGTACGGTGCGGCAATCACCCCCAGTAACGCAATCCCTATTCCTTCCGAACCAGTTCTAGATCAGTCCACCGAGCCATCTCAAGTCTGGAAGAAGCAACAAGCAACATGCTGCAGGGACCTAAAATGTGTAAAAATCATCGGACATGGATTTCCATCTCACAGTGTATAGTCGTATGTTCATCGTGAATCATCAGTCATGGTACGTGGGTATCGTTCTAGAACAAAGGTTTTCTGGAAACTCCTGGAAACTTTCGCTTGAAAAAAAAAGATCCACCGAATTGGTTCCACCTCGTATCTATACCTAACATTCCCATGTTGACAAGCCTCCCGAGGCCTCCTCAACTTTCCTCACCTCCAGCGCGCAGTCGAAGACCATCTGGAAATCGAAGTGGATCTGGACAGGTCGACTCGCAGTCCAAGGTCAAATGGAACCGTCGCGACACTTCTATCACCCATAGTTGATGCTGCAATGCAGGGTTATAGGTGAAGGCGTCGACACCGCCACGCTGGTTGATCATGGTCCTCAGCGCATCTGCGTGGAGACGGACCTCGCTGGTGTCCCCAAAATCGGCTGTGTACGCCACCAGCAGGAGAACAGCCTGGATGTTGGCGTCAGAACTGGCAGCTCCTGGCATCTGGAGGCGATTCCATAGAATGTTAGTGCCTCGACCAAGATTTCTTTCTGCTTCCACCTGGTCTTGAGGATTTTCCTCGGCAACTGATCGCGCTCTCCGGACTGCATAGGCATAAGCGAGGAGCAGGTGTCGAGAAACTTCGTTCTCAAGCATATATACCAGTGCTGATTCCAGCATGTCACTTGATTGATAATGATCGCAAAATGTGGCTCTGACTGTGGGACAGAAAGTTAGTATCGGAGAAAATTTTTGAACCTGCACATGCACTGCCCAGTCTTGATTGCGCTGGAGCATGTTCGGGGCTTTCCAGAGGGTCACTCACAAAATTCTAGGACAGAGTCGTCCGTAGAGGCGATTATCTGAGATGTGGATGGTAGCATCTCAAGGGCGGAATCTGCGGCCGCTTCACTTGTCGAGGAAACGGCTTCTTGTTCGTCGCTCGTTGTCCGACTGGGCGGTTCCGGTCTGCCAGGGATGGAAGGCGCCGGCGAAATTGACACCGAGCTGGCACTGCTGGCTGACGAGGTTGCGACCTCTGCATCTCCTCGCGGGCGTCTGGTCCATTCAAAGTAGCGAGTCTGGCTGGACCGTCGGAGAAGGCGCGAGCGTGCCTCTCGACGCTGCGCGGCCGAGTGATATGCGGTGTGCCGCTGAATGGCACTCCTGACATTGGGGTTCTGGCTGTCGACAAATTCGATGATGTTGGAGGATCGGCGTGAATTGGGATTGGAATCTCTGCTCTGGCTCGCCCGTGAAGTGTCTTCTTGCGGAGGATCACCACTGGATGACATGTATGAAAGAGTAGAAAAAGGAGACGGTTTTGGTAGGAGAAGAGAAAGAAGAACGATTTAAAAGAAGGAAAGAAGAAAAATGTCTGGTGATAGAATCATGATATCCTACCTCGCAATGCTGGAAAACAAGACTTGGATGAGTAGTTGACACGTCAGGGATATCTCACGGACTCCAGTCACCAAGAAGTTTTTTTATGGTCCTTGAACGCGCGTACGCCGTTTGTCAGTGAAGATGGAGAGTGCGCGAAGATACCGTCGGTGCTGCAGCAAAGGCGAAAAGAATGCTAAAGGCGGACAAAGTGATGGATAGAATCGAGAGGGGGAGGAAACCCCGGGGTTTGGAAGTTGATGCCAAACCCCATGGCATTTTTATACAGATTCTGGAACGTAAGAAGCGAGAAAAAAAAAGCAGGTCCCAGCGGGTCCCCACCAAACGGCTAACCTAATCGTTGCGAGATGATTCGGTAAGGATCTATAGAGGGTGTGGGATCCAGAACTTTTGGTATAGGTCAGAATGGAGGCAAGGCTAGAAATGCTTCCCTCCTCCGCACTACTAAAATCTCCGACACTGTAAAACCCTCTCACGGTAGCCTCTAGATGATTCGAGACTGTCTAGGAGAAATGGAGCATAAAAAGAGCGATGATCATCGAGGGTGGGTTGATGTCGGTCCAAGAACTCTTTGTAAACTCGCTCGAGGTCGACAAGGACCTCACATTGAAGCACGAGCGATTAAGGAGGCGAAGTGGGATGCGCGAATCATCGAACCAGCCAACGGGCGCACATGGATTCGGATCACGCGGACAGGGCGATGGTGATGTCGGAGGCAATTTTTTGAGGCTGTGACTTAATAGGTATATCAGGGAGGCGAGCCTTGTCGAGGTGATTGGAAGGAGTTGAACAAGGACGAGTATCAATTTGCTTCCGAGCGAAGAAGGCGGCCTTGGCACTCCGGGGCCTTATCCGGTCCGGGGTTACATGAACCTCCATCGTGACTCGTGAGACGCACGACTTCTTCGCCACCTTGATGCGTCGATCCGACTTCCGACTTACCCTTATTTCAACTACTGCGTCGAGCGGTTTTCTCTCAGATCCTGCGAGGTACGAAGACCGAGTACGACTGGCATGGACCCTGGCGCAACAACTGAGCCACAGGACGTGGCTGTCTCCTGATTACTCGGATATTAGCAGACACCGAGGTTCGGATTATGAATCCTTGCATGAGATTCCGAATCCAACTGTGAATGACACAAGTACCTGTATGCGGAATGTACTTGTGAGAATGCTCCGACCCATCTTCTGGCGTCTGATAAAAGCTAAGCCGGCTTCGTAACAAGTTAACATCCTAAGCATGCAGGTTTTGGTGGAGTTTGACCGCAAACCCCCCGGTTCCCGTCATCGGCCGAGAGCGATGCTTGTCGTCGGCTAACGCACCATGGAAGCAACACGTGCGAAGACCAGACTTGGAAATTCGGACAAGGTGAGCTGGGGTGAGTCTCACTCTGATAGTTCAAGTAGGAAGGTGATGTACCGAAATCGACCATGCCCTGTTACTTCCTTCCTCATATATCCTGTCGCAATTGTTCGAAGGTGAGACCCGACAATAAGCGAGACTTGCAGCCATTGAATACGTTATGGACCTCTTACAAAAATCCGCCCGAGTTGCAGACGAGGCTGCAACCCAACGTGCGCCAGTAAGTGCGTCATTTGTCAGACACTCCTGGTGCATCCCGAAGTTTGTGTAAGCAGACAGAGGTCTTCGGGCATCGAGCAACCCTCAAAGAAGTTGCGCAACAGGAGATAATTCCGCTCAAAAACAATCGACAGCCAGATTTCCCAACTGGTCTCCCACGTTGGTACTCCCTGACCGGAAGAGGACTTAAGTACGTCTGAGCAAACGGGAAGACCTGTTTTCCCTCTCCTGTGGTCGATTGCGATGAGAAATACGCAACTTAGAGCTATATATCTCATGCAAGGTTGGGAAAGCCACGGAATGAATACCGCAGATATCGGAAGCTGGAAAAAGCAATTTGGTTCGGCAATCGCCACTCCATGTTGACATGTTTCATTCTATGTCTTATTGTTTAGACCTGAACTGCATACACCTCCCCGTCTCGTTATTCGTGTCTGCATACACATCAGAGGCAACGTGTCATTTCCTCGCCTTTTTGCCCCGTTTCTTGACGTTGGTGCCATTCGCATTCTCCAGGCCGGTTGTCTCGACAATCTCAAACCCAGAATCAGATATTTGACTCGAGCTCATATCCCGCACTAGCGGCTTGTCTAAATCAATGGCTTCTTTGGTGGGTTCCAGGGGCGACTCGCTGTTTGGCACATCCTCGTCTTCAGCACTCGGCTGCGTGCTCTTCGAAAATGGACTGATAGCCTTGCGGCATAGCCAGATGGGGAGACGCAGAACAGCAGTATCCCACACAGTGGGCTTAACGATCTCGTCGAGATCCAAGAGATATTCCTGCGTATTCCCGTCTTCGTCCTCCTCTTCCAAGTATACGTTGCCCCCCGCGTCAACGACCAGGATCTTCCCGTTTTCTGCAGTGACACGCCGTCTGTCCTGCGATGTGGATTGCACCGCTTTGGGAGGAGGTGCAGAAGCAGGCTTGCTCGTCTTTTCCTTTTTATTTTGTCGCTCCATTTCTCGCCGCTGCCGTCGGTTCAGGTTGGCCATCGGATCAGGCTCTTCGATGGTGGGAGCGACTTCGACCGGCTCACCGAGACCTGCAATGCCTCTAATACCAGACTCATCGCCCCAGGCTTGTTTCTTTGCGTATCTGATGTACCTCTCCATGAAGTCCCGGTGTCTGCGGTAGTTCATTGTCAAAACAAAGTAGTGGACGGCTCCGCCGCCGATCAGAAACAGTCCCAGTAACACAGTCCCCAGCCCAGGACGGTATCTTTGGTAGTAATAGCCTGTCCCACGCCAGGACGGCCAGCCATGTCCCTCGAAAAAATCATATCTCTCCCTCAACGGACCTCTTAGAATGGTCCCGATCAGAGTGAGCCGACTGTAGCGTTCCTGCGCATCTTTCACGACGCGTGAAATCTCCCGCTGTGTCGGTCCTTTTGAGACGTGTACTCCGGGCTTTTTCTTGCCACCTGGCTTTTTGGGGCTCGCTGTCGACCGCGAGGCTATGAAGGAATGCTTGACTTTGTCCGGATGGAGAGTGCGGGACTTCTTCTTGAGGGCGGCACTGATCTGATCGACCGTGGCATGAGGCGATACACCGAGAACATCGTAAAATGTGACCCCAGGGCCTTCAGTGGTTTCCAACTCGTCGTGTAATTTGAACAGCTCGTAGTCTTCAGCCGACCATGCAACACACACGGCAACCAGAAACAGGAGGAAAAGGATTCGTCGCATCATCTTCACCCACACGACTCCCCCACGACAACAGTCACTGGTGGCACACGCAGTCCGAGAGGATCTTATGATGAAGTGAGGCAAGGAATTCGATGGTGACGGGGAATGATGCCCAAATACGTGGGCCCAATTGACGAAGGTTCCGAGGAGGATGCCGCAGCCAACTTGCAGTAGCTTGACTTCCAGCCAAGGGAGGTAGAGTTTTGCCAAAGTGTATATATCGGAACGCGGACCTCCTCTTTTCTTTCCTTTTTCCTTCTCCCTAACGCCTCACCTGTCAAGAGTGAGAGCGATGGCAGTGCCGCGACCTTGAGCCTGCGGGAGGCAGGTCGAGGATTCTTTGTGGAAGAGAGCAGGGGTGGAAGCTGAGGAGAGTTGCTGATCTTCCAGGTTCGCAGTCTCTGTGGTGGTGCCCCCTGTAAGTCACCAAAATTGGGTGTGGCTTTTGAGTTGTGCTGACTACGCCTCTAGGGAGCCTACAGCCCCCCTCCCCCTTTGAGTCCCCCCTTTCCCCCCCTCGAAAATCTCTAGTTACAAACTTCGTCAACCATTCACCCACCCGTCGAATTCCATCCCAAATCTCCGCAAAGGGGCCACAGGCAACAACAAGAAAAAGTCTCTGCCTGCACACTGCATCCCCTTCTCCTTGACTTATTCTTCACCCGACTCTCTTTCATCACGCTCATTTGCACTTCCACCCCAACACCGCACTTTGAATAATCTTGTAAGTTCTACAACAGTCAGCAATGCTGGACGCTGTGTGACCGCCAATTCGCGTTTCTTTACTGACATGGACCTGTCAAGGTAATCAATTCTCCAGCGACCTTAATCTCTATCAAAACACCCATCCTTTGAGCTCAAAATGGCCCGAATCAGCATTCCCATCGATGCCCTCACTTCCCGTCTCAACCTTAGTGATCGCTTTAACAGCGTCCGGTCGCAGTCGATTGCGTCGCGCTTTGCAAACATTCGACCCATCTCCGAGTTTCTCGACTTGAAGAGATTGTCAAAACCAAACAACTTTGGAGAGGTGCAGGCCAGAGTCAACTACAACCTGAGCTATTTCTCCAGCAACTATGCCGTGGTCTTTGTCATGCTCAGCATTTACAGCCTGCTGACCAACCTATGGCTTCTTTTCGACATCATCCTGGTCGTGGGCGGCATGTGGGCAATCGGCAAGCTGGGGGGAGCTGATCTCGAGATCGGCACCTTCAGAGCGACAACCTCTCAGCTGTACACCGGCCTCGCTTGTGTGGCTGTTCCCGTTGCCTTCATTTCTTCTCCTATTGCAACTTTCCTATGGCTGATTGGAGCTACCGGTGTGACCATCCTTGGCCACGCTTCACTCATGGATAGACCAATCGAGAATGCTTTTTCCGAGGAGGCGGTCTAGGTGGTCGGCCGCGAACTCCATACGATATGCCCCCTGGGGGAAGACCACCAAGGGGACGAGGCGGGCGGAACAAGGACAGATTGTGGGAATTTCAACAGCAACAACGCTCGTGGGACTACAATGTTCGTGTGGAGGAATTGGACACCGACGACGAGATATCGCCGCACGGTGTTGAGCCCGATCAGGGTTATGGTCCATCAAGATTTCGCTCAGATGAGCTTCACTTTACTGGCATAGATTTAGGTGGGGGAGTTGTCCGCCGACGGCGTTCAGGTGATTCATTCGGCGATGATTTGACCCCTTCGGATGACGAGGACGATTATGACCCTTATGCAGGCCTCGTCCGGAGAGCAGACATGCAGATGGCTTACAGGGAGAAAGAAGACATGCTCGTCCAGAGAGCTCTGGATAGGATAGCGCGCGCCCGGGCTCTGGGTAAGCCCAATGTCAAGTTGAGTCGAGCTGAAATTGATGCGTTGAAACGCCTAGAGCTCGACCGGAGCCAGACTCCTCCACAGACCCCTGCAGCAGCAGCGCCACAGGCTCCAAAGAGCAAAAAGGAAGTTGTCAAGCGCAAGCCGGTCGAGGTCCGCAAGGTATCAGGCAAAAAGCCTTCTGGCGGTTCTCCCGCAAAGGGTAGGGCCGCAGATGGTCGAAACCGGGGAAGAAGTTCTGCCTCCAACAGTTCTCCACGCGAGAATGTTGACAACTCGGTCGCCTACGCGTTGCCCCCAGTGGACGTCGACTACGATCGAAGGGTGCCGTACACGCAAGGATATTATGTGACTGGCCCGCGTCAGCTCGAACCGCTCCGCCACAGCTCTCGCACAAACTCCAACCAGTCTCTGCGGCAACAACAAATGCAGCAGGCCCCCCCTTACCAGCAACATCCTTATTATTCGCATCGCTATTCCTCTAACCCAGACGTACTCTACAACAATCACGGCTCGAGTTCCCCTCGTTCCTCACGGCCTGACCCTTCCGAACCTGACTGGGAACCTCGTGCTCGCTCGACTTCCAGCCTGGTTAACGTGCCTCTGGATCAGTTGCCCTACCAGACGAGTGTGGGGAGAGCGCCACGGTTTGACCCTGCTGACCCACGCTTCGCCTCGCCACAGCGTCGCGTCGTGTCTGGTCCGGCGGGTGTTCTACCAAGCCACGTTGGGATTCGTCGTCAACAAGACGAGCTTTTTCTTCCGGATGAACAACCAGAGGTCTACAGATACCTAGCACCATCTGACACAGATAACCAAGACGACGACGACAGCGACTACACCCCAGAAGACGAGGTGGTTGAAGTCACGGAAAGACCAAGTGGTCAATACGCGATTCAAACGAGAAGTGCTGCCGCAGGGACATCATCGCAGAGGGTTCGGAGTAACGGGAAAGGCACGGCCGGGAAAAGTAAAAAGGGAAGATAACACAGGGGCACGGGCATGGTATCCGCAGGGTTTGCATGTGTTAATAGGTTTTCACTAACGAGCACACTGGTGCTGGATGTCGAATGACTCCAGCTACGAGGAAGGATCGTTGATCAGGTTCATGTTATGGCTTGCGTTCAATGAAGAAATGGAAGAAAGTTTCTTCAGTGCGTTTATTCATTCCAGGTTCGAGACATTTTCGTGATTTTCAAAGTCCTGCCTCCCGCTGTAACATTGTTCATTCCCTCCATCAGATGTAGGCCTCCCAAACTTGCCGTCGCGATTAGATGAACATCTTTGCTATTCCTGATCCCCGTCAATGTCATTGTGTTTTGGGGGGGGTGTCAAAGCAAGCTTACCTGCAAGAGCGCCAATGCTGTTCCCAAGGCCACCACCCATGCCGGGCAAGGCGCTGCCAGCACCAAAGTCCCTCGCGCCTCCGCGGGCATAGAACCGTTCGGTCGTCTGGGTCATCTCCCGCCCGCCCATCATCCTCTGCAGTCCCGCGGGGAGACGAATGCCCACGGTCCCCAGCAACTTGCTGAGCGCCCCGCCCGTGATCAGCGGCAGGATGACCAGGACAAACGTGCGGACGGGATGCCGCCGCATCCAGTAGTATATCTCTTTCAGGAAGCGGCGTATCCGGTTCACGAAGCCGGACCGGGGGCGCGCGCGGGACGAGTGGCCGTGGCCTCGCGACGAGGAGCCGCCACCGAGGCCGGAGAAGAAGGAGGACGCGCTGCGCGAGTACGACGGGCGGGAGGCGTAGTAGGAGCGGCGTGAGGGAGACGGAGAGTTGCTTCGCTGCGAGCGAATTCCCTGGTTCCAGAACCCCATCCCCAGATGTTCGCGTGGACGTCGGCGCAGCCTCTGAAGGGCCAATCGTCGAAAGGCAGTCCGATTTGGGATTTGCGCGGGCGCTTGGGTCGCTCGATTTGCGGATCGTCGTTGTCGCCCGCGTCTCAAGAAGATGGGCTTTGCTCGTTGTTGTGCCTTTTCTCACGGAAGAGAGCTGCGAGGAAAACGATGAAAAGATGGCGAAACTAGCGAGGGTTCGTCAAAGGGGTCCCTGAGCTGATGGTTCACGAACAAAATGCATGCATTCTGCAGAGGCTGAGCACTCTGGGTTTGTAGACCGCTCAGCGGACAATTCGAGTGGCTGGACAAAAACCGGGGGGGCTTGGTGGGCACGGTGGGGCACTAGGGGGTGCACCAGGCCAATAAAACGCCAGCGCAGTCCGCAGTGCTTCAAAAGGGTATAGATCTACGTTGATGTTATTATTTCGCAGCCTTTTCCCTGTCAGGGAGGCAACTACGAGGTGCGGTCTAACTCAATGCACATGAGGGCGCCTCCAGATGTAAATCATCCCCAAGGGCGATCTCATTTCTGGGTGTCTCCATCCTAGCCCTAGACAGGGTGGAGGACATCAATCGCATCAAGTCCGCAGTGGCCATTGTGAACATTCTACGGGTGTCTTGCGGAGAGTTGTTCTGGAGTGCATCTTTGTCGAAATCGACGAACAAGACCAAGCACAACTCCCCAAAAATGTGTATCATAACGGCGAATAATATATGCCACGAACACCATGCGTTATCCCCGATCCAAAAAGGTATCACTTTGACAACGCCGAATACCGCCCAAAGCCCATGTCCGTCCGTTCTTCAACTGATCGCGCCGCTAAACAGCTTCGCAGCAAGCTCGCTCAGTATGCGAGCTTTTTGACCCTGGTCGAGCGCTTGGAACACCTCATAGACCGACTTCCCTTGCTTGTCACGTATGGCGCCCATCTTGCTGCCGGCAGCAGCACCTGTCACCATGCCGACAGAGTTGCCGACAATGAAACCGAGAACGCCACCCGAAATACCTCCGGCGATAGTCCAGAACCGCTTCGTGGGCGTGTGCGTGTCATCGGCCAAATCGTCCTCCTGCATCATCTCTTCAAACGCACTCTTGAACTGTTCGTTTGCAAACTGGTCTTCTTGTGCGTCTCCCGCCGGTCGACCAAAGCCGAACATGTTGAACCAAGACTGGGGACCCGTCTGCGGAGGGGGTCTGGGAACTTCTTCGTCGGCAGACTCGTCAAAGCTCGTGGTGCCGTGGAAGCGCCTTGCTTCGTCGTATTCTCGCCGTCTCGTGGGCTCGGACAGAGTGTAGTAGGCGTCATTGATCTTTTGGAACATTTTCGTCCGCTTGGGACGCTCGTCCGAGTCGGCCGCAACGCGATCTGGATGCCATCTGCCAAAATATCCGTTAGTATTGAGACGAGAATGTCGGTACCCAGCGACAGAGATTTCCTTCCAATATTCCAGACTGTGGTAGAGAGACTTACTTCAGCGCGGCTTTCTTGTAAGCCCTCTTGATTGCTTCCTGGTCGCTGTCGGGGGCAACTTCGAGGACAGCATCTCCTTCCAATCAGCATGGCTCTCTATATCTTGCTGAGATAACAGCACTTACAGTAATCGGGTAGCTCAGACATTTTGACCCCTTGCGAGTCTGTCTCCCAGACTCAGGTTCCCGGTGGGGCGGACCTGGAAGGACAGCGAGAGGAACCTTGGTCGGAACGGGGAAACGACTCCGTGACCTCGTATAAAATGATGTGAGCGCTGCAGAGACAATAAAAATAGTGGACGCGAGGCAAAGACGAAAGGTGGCAGAAAGAGGGCAAGGAAGGATTGCATTTGATCGCAGCCTACTCGTATGACGAGCCGCGGGCGCATGACGTCGACACCCTACGTTTCAAGCCACAGTGGCTTGGGGGGTTTTTCTAACCTGTGCTTGTTCCGGTACGTCAAGGCGCTAGTAATTTTCGAGTCTAGATTCCCATCTTCCACGACTGGTGGGTGACTGGAATCTCGACGCCCATCTCCCTTCTGTACCCAAGTGACCTCGCGCCGCTTTTACTCGGGCTAGCTCGCGTCTAGCTTGATGTCGGCTTAGGCTTAACTAGGCCAGCTCACCTTACTAGCTACATCAGGGAATGTTAAGACAGGTGCTGCAGCCGGCAGCAAGATAGGCGCCATATGTGACAAGCAAGGGAAGTAATCTTCAGAGATGTGCATATCGGGCAATTAAGCTGGTTCACCCATCCAATAAGCCATTGTTTATCAGCGACAAAGGGGGCCTGCGTAGGATCCCAAATAAATCCAAGCTCCCTTGAATTCTTAAGTGATATTCATCTCGGAGATACCTGTGACTTGCGCAACCGTTAGTCTCGGTAGGATTGGCAAAGGTATTTCGACTGGCAAGCATAGTTTGGTTGATGTAATACATTGTGCTCGCCCACAGGTCTTGTGCGACACGAGATGCGGATTATCGAAGGAAGAAAAGGGTAATCTGCAATTCTGTAATTTCAGAGTCACCATATTGTTTTGCCACTTCCCCGGCAAACTTGCCCGACAGTATTGCCCCGCCTCCGTCTCCTCGAATATTTATCACGCGGTGACGGCCCTGCCATCCATTCTAGATACCGAGAGCATTTTTACAGCTTATCTTTCACATTCATTCAGCTATTATGGCCCAAATAATCCACCAACCAGATATAAATGTGTATGACGACATCACCCTGCCATCAGTTCTCAGTTTGCGCCTACAAAATGAGATGCATGGTCCGGACGATGATTGGAGTGGAACGACTGATCCTGCTAAGCGGAGGAAAATTCAGAATCGCCTACATCAAAGGGCATGGAGTAAGCATATCTAAGGGTTACTATACTCATTCAAGTCATGGTCTTTTAACTCAACTATGCAGGAAGGCGACAGGTGAAGCAACGAAAGCTCGGCGTCACGGCCAAAGACCCAAGTGCGGACTCGGAGGTTGTGCGGCAGGGTAGTCGAACCCGTGATACTTCGTGCTCAGAGGCATCAGAGCCACCGATCAATCTTTGGCGATGCTCGGATGACGTTGATAAGACCCAGAGGTCTCTCACCCGCTTCGAGGAGTATGCTTATTCGCGATATCTGGAAGGGTCTCCGCGAACAGACCTCCTGCTGACGCTCATCAAATTCAACGTTTTCAGAGCACTCATGGCAAATGATAAAACTCTTGGTTTTGTTAATCAGTGGCTTCAGTGTGAGGCTATTTCACCCTTTTTCCGCTCCCCAGACGGAACCCAGGCAGTCGTACAGACATGTCCCGCAAATCTCAGGCCAACCGATCTACAGCTGATTGTTGCGCACCATCCATGGATCGATCTATTGCCCGATCCAAGGATGCGTAATAACATTCTGCTACTGGGCGATGATTACGACGATGAACCACTCTGCCATGACGTCGTGGACAATCGTCACGGCAAACAGTCGGAGAGCCTTATCGTCTGGGGTGATCCATGTGACCCGGACAGCTGGGAGATCGGCGAAGATTTTTGTAAAAAGTGGCCTTCGGTTGTGCAAGGCTGCCATCGTCTGTTCAAAGCGACGAACAACTGGAGGGTTCGACGGGGCGAGCCGAAGCTCTTTCCGGATACTCTTTGTACTCCCAGATGACAAGGTCATTCAACTACTGCTATTATTCTGATGGAAGCTCTGGCTAGTCGTGTGATTACAGCTTAGGACATGCAGCGAGGCAGACAATGCTCACAGATGGTCCTCATTTACCAACACATATCGGTATCTTGCCTTGCCATTATCCATATCCACCATCGCCTGATTTGCATCCTTCATTGGACGCTCTTCCACCCATGGCTTCACATTCTTCTCAGCCGCCAGCTGAAGCATTTCTCGAATTTCTCCTGGTGCACCGATCATTGAACCAGCAAGCTTCTTCCTTCCGATGATTATGCCAGTCGCTGGTACCTCGAACACTCCATCGTCAGGGTTGCCAACCTGAACTAGTGTGCCATCGCGTCTCAAGAGAGCAAGATAGCCGGCAATGGGCATCTAAAATGATTGGTCAACGTCGTGGTCTAGGGTCAAGTGAACTTTGAGAACGTACCTTTGACGAAGAGATGGTTGAGATGAGCAGGTCAAACGAGCCAGCAAATTCGGTGTCCCACTTGGGATGATCGTCTGTTGCAATGTAGCTGTCTGCTCCCATTTTGAGGGCATCTTGCTTCTTACTCTCCTTGCGGGAGATGGCGACAACAGACTTCGCGCCCAGTGCTTTTGCCCAGAGAACGGCAAAATGGCCCAGACCACCCAGGCCAATGACACCGACGTGCTTATCCGGTCCACATCCAAAGTACTTCAACGGCGAATATGTTGTGATGCCAGCGCATAGCATTACTGCTGCCGAAGCAGAAGGAATGGCGTCTGGGATCTTGAAGACAAAGTGGGACGGAGAGCGGTTATACAATGCGTGACCCCCGTATGATTTGTCGCCATTCAGATGGAAGCTTCCGTATGTGCCAACGTGGTGGGCGCAGAAATGTTCATTCCCTGACGCGCACTCGTCGCAATGGCCTTGCACACGACCCAAGCAAGAGTCACCTTGAGCGCCGACACCAACTCGGTCTCCCACCTTGATACCACCTTCAACTTTCGTGCCTACGCGTACAGCTCGACCAACGATCTCGTGGCCGACACAACATGGATATGGCGTCGGCCCCTGCAGATTGAGTCAGCGCTCCCCGGAGTGGTTGATGTGTTGATCACGGGACTTACCCAGCCGCTTCGGAGGACATGGAGATCCGAACCGCAGATGCCGCTGTGTGATATCTGAATGTCGACGTCTGTTTCTTCCCAGGTCTTGGGCTCGAACTCTTGCCAGACCATTTTTCCCTTGTCAGCAGTCTTGTCGAGGCCTAGCCATCCCATGAACTTGTAGTCGGTGGAGCTAGCCATGGTTACTTATTTGGTCGATAAAAGCGGTGTCTCGAGGCTTGGGGTCTGTCTGTAGCTGGACTTATTCGGGGGTTGGCAGTAGAACAGGAAAACAGCAAATGACCTCTTCGTTGGATTGCGCGGATGGTTGGTGCTTAAATACCCAACGCACTCTCAACGCCTCTATGATACGGCATTGAATCGTCTCCACAACGGCAATTGCAGGTGCTGGTCTTGATAGTTTCTCGTGTGAAAGTTTACGGACATGACATCGTCGGCTCCACTATGAAGCCTTTTCATAAGCAATCTGCATCCGATGGGATGTGTTTCGACATCGGTGGCAATCAACTAGCCCCCCCGAAACAGATCGGCGTGCCATGCGAGCCGACGATTGACCCAAGCTCTGCAGAAGTGCTTCTGCTTTGCAATGCAAGACTATGCGCCGCTCATGCCGTCAAGGATGCCAAATTCTCAATGAAATATATATCGTGCCTCCATCCCCTGCAAAGTCACGTATATGATCGTTCAAACATATGCCCGTCAAGGATCTTAGAACTGTCGCAAGGATTCTACAAATTGGATTCGTTCACGCAAACTCTGTACATCCCAAACTCGACTCCAGCAATTCCCAAACAACGCCTCAAATGCAAATCTCACGCGCCTCTCGGAGCGGAGCACCCTCCATTCAAGGCGATAAAGCCATTGCAAACGCTTTCACCGGCAACAACGTGTACATCGACCCCGTCCTCAACGCGGAAGGCATGTCGATTGCCAATGTCACTTTCACGCCAGGTGCCCGAACGCACTGGCACACGCATGAAAAGGGTCAAATCCTGAGAGTCGTCACCGGGTCGGGTTGGGTGTGTGATATTGGCGGACAGCCCGTCAGGATCAATGTCGGGGACGTCATCTGGTGCCCGCCTGGCACGAAGCATTGGCACGGAGCTGACGACGATAGCTACATGTGTCACCAGGCGACCTCCTTTGGCGTTGTCACCTGGGAAGAAGAGGTCGGTGATCAGGAATATGCAAAGAAATCGGGGTGAATACCTCGTACGAGGTACAGAACTGTGGAACCCAGCCTTCATCCGAAAAGAAAATCGAGAATCATTTTAGACCCAAAGTTTCGTTAGCTCTGTACCTCGTAATAATATTGTGTCCGATTGGACAAATCTGGTGGCCTAATGTCGCCACCTTCTTGCTCGTTGGCGAGTTGGGTTTGCGCTAACGCAGACTGCTTATGGTGGCGCCGGTATTTGTTCAGATGCTCCCAATCAAAATCAGTTCTGTTGTATGTAGCATGCGGGGGAGGCTTCAATTGAATACATACATATTTGATGCCTATTTTGAGGCAACTTCCAACAGCTTTGTCTGCATCGCCATTTGATTTACTTTCGAATATGTCGTTCTTCAACCCTCCTTCAAAGCCCGAGAATCCGTTGGCATACCACCGCATCCTCTCCCCGACAGCGTCCGTTAAAGTCTCCCCTCTGTGCCTGGGTGGCATCAGCATCGGGAGCTCGTGGAGCGAAGTATTTGGCAAAAACGAAAATCCAGACTCTCTGCTCGACGCCTTTTACGCTCTGGGTGGCAATTTCATCGACACGTCCAACACCTACAATGGCGAGGACTCTGAGAGATTGATTGGCGAGTGGATGGAGAAGAGGGGAAACAGAGACCAGATGGTCGTTGCGACCAAGTATACCGCTGGCTACAAGGCGTACCAGAGAAATGAACTCCCCTTACAGAGCAACTACACGGGCAATTCGGCGAAAAGCATGCACATCTCGGTGAGAGATAGTCTGGCAAAACTAAAGACAGACTACATTGACATCCTCTACGTCCACTGGTGAAAGGTTCTGATGTCAACAGGAGGTGACCCGACTCGACTGACTGGGGTTTCAGGTGGGACTTTGCAACATCCGTGGAAGAAGTCATGACACATCTTCACGCCTACGTCATGGCGAAGCAAGTGTTGTACATCGGGGTATCTGATACTCCAGCCTGGGTGGTCGTCAAGGCAAATGCGTGTACGGTTTTGATCCCTTGATGCACTTTGCTTTCCACGCTGGCACCGCGCACTGATGCGATGCGACAGATGCTCGAAGTCACGGCCTCACACCATTTTCCGTGTACCAAGGTCGATGGAATGCCGCGTACAGGGACATGGAGGCCGAGATCATCCCTATGTGCGAAGACCAAGGTATGGCGATTGTGTCGTGGGCTTCTCTCGGAGGAGGACAATTGATGTCGGCGCAAGAAAGGGAGGCAAGGATGAAGGACCCAGACGCCCACAAAGGGTACGGCTTCCGCGAAGCGGATATCAAGGTGTCCACGGCGCTGGAGAAGGTCGCGCAATCCAAAAAGACCACAACCCAGGCGGTAGTAAGTATCTCCATTTTAAATGCATCGTGTCTTGGATAAAATGTTTGCTGGCTGACCGGCGGTAACACCAAGGCACTCGCCTACTTACTACACCAGTCGACCTATGTCTATCCGATCGTCGGGGTCCAGACGGTCGAACATGTCAAGGCATTGCCAGAGGCATTGCGGATTGAACTTTCGAAAGAGGACGTCGAAGCGATCCAGGATGCTGGAGACTACCGACCCCCGTTTCCCATGAGTTTCTTGTTCCAGTGGACCGGAGAGGAAAAGTACCATCTGGGCCTCACACCTGCGGACGTCAGCCAATATCAGATGGCGGCCTGGATCCAGGCGCCGCCGAAACAACCTGTATGTGAAACGACAGCTCGGGTATAGGTCATCAGCTAACAGACGGGGCAGCCATATCGACCTTGGAAAGGACCGTGAGCAGTATACAACCGAGAACGAAGAAGTCATGTTGTAATTTTGTGGGTGGTCATTTATCCCCGACAGAGATCCTGCTCTACTCCTCATTTCTCTCTTCAAGGTTGAAGCTCCCCCTGCCTGAAAGTTTCCTTTCTGGAGGAGCTCCAAGAGCCTTTCGGCTCATCTTCGTTCCTCAAGGGCACTCCAGGGCACAGGGCATTATTCTCCCCTGTTTCCCATTTCTCCCATTCGAGAGACAGAGATTACAACACTCACCTGCATGCACCTCGCGCTCGCCTAGCTTCTATTCTGTCCCACTCACCTACAAAACGACCGCAAGTATCTCGTGAAAAATAGAGTTTTAGCTATGTATTTGTGGTCTCTGGAGGTAGAGTTTTGTGGGCTGCGCATTTCTGTTTACACCTCCGCTATATCTGATTGGTTAAAAAAGGGGTAGGCGTGTGTCAGCAAAAGGGGAGGGCAGTTTCGGGGGAAGTACTGTAACTCATGACGACTGAGAAGAAATTCGATGTCGTCGATTGGTTATGCCGATCGGCTTAATTATACAGCTTTCCCAGCTCAGAAGGTAGCTTCTACAGGAGAGATGACAGTGCAACAACACGCCAAGAGTTACCCGATGAAGGTGGGCACTACAAGTATTATATAGCTAAAGCAGGAAGGAGGCCTTGCGGCGTGGTAGGACTCAGGAGAGGTCTTCCTGTCACCTAGTATTTTGTATATAGACGATCAGACCTCGCCTAAGAAGAGGTATGAGACAGACTAATGCATAATAACCTTGCTCAGATCCTGCCCAAATCAACAACTGCCTTGCCCGACCTCAAACATAAGCAAAGTACCCTTGTGCCTGGCGTACCGCCCCTCGCAGGCGGCCATCAGGTCGGCTCGTGACACGTTCATGACAAAGTCGATTGTGGGTAACGCCGTTAGGAGCCATTCGATGTAATAATCACTGAGCATACTAGTCATTTCTCTCGTTACGCTTGAAGCATCAGTCTCAACAATTGTTGCCAGACATACCAAATCCCAGGCTGCGGGTAGACTTCAGTGCTGAGGCCAAGGACTGCTACTGTGCAACCTCACCAGCTCATAGAGTGCATCCGCGTCCTTTGCTATGGCCGATGCAGACGCTCCGGAATCTCCCTTTGAGAGCTGGACCAGCAGATCAAAGACCGATTCGTTCAACGGACCCGAACCCGACTCCTCCATCGTCTTCAACTCATGCTCAATCTCAGAGGAGATGCGTAGATTCTGGATTTGAGCCATGACCGTTGCCGAGTGTGCGCCGTACATCAAATCCGAGTCAAGCTCGGGGAAGGCTTGGCTTGCCTGTCTCACAATGAATATCATGTTTTCTTTTTCCTGGGCTTCCACTCTCGCACGGTCCATCAGGATCCGTGCTCTCGCCGATTTCTCATACCAGTCTCGCGCTTTGTGGGTGGTTTCCCCAGGGAATCTGCCGCTGTTGTCTCGTTCTGCCTTCGCTCCGAATGTCGTCAAGAGCTCGATGACTTTGTCGCTGTTTGCTGCATGAGCCATGTGCAATGGTGTCCATCCTTGTCCGAATGGGAGATTCGGATCAGCTCCATTTTCCAGTAGAAGTCTCACCACATCAGGCAGTCCTTTCCCTGCAGCGTGGTGGAGGGCCGTTGCGCCGGCCGAGACAGGCCCTTCCCGTGCATTGATATCGTCAACGTAGGGCAGAAGCAGTTCCACAAAAGGCATGACGTGGTCACAAATTTCGTACTCGTGGCTCTTGAATATTTCGTGCAAAGGCAAACAACCTGCCAAATTGTACTCATTGATCAAGCGAGACATGCTCCCACAGGCAGATTCGAGAGGCGCCCCGGCCTCTGTCTCGGAGTCCTGCAGGCTCGTCATCCAAGCCATGACAAGCTCTAGAGTGTCGACACTCGCTCCTTCGCAGCAAGCGTGGATAATGTTTCGGTTTCCTTGGTCCCTTGAGTTGAAATCAGCTCCTTCCTCGAGCAGAAACTGGCAGATATCAACTTGGCCGACGCAGGCGCTCATGAGAAGAGGTGTCAGGCCAGAAAGACTGCTTTCATTTAGCTGATGCGTCGTCCTAGGGTAGACGAGCTTGACCATTTCAAGGCTCTTGGAGGCGACGGCTGATTGCAACACCGACTGCCGACCAAATGTAAGAATGTTTGGATCCGCACCCCGCTCCATTAGGAGCTGGGCCGCAAATATGTTGCCAATTGAGGCAGCCAAGTTTAGAGGCGTAAACCCTGCCTGGTTCCTAACATCCAAGTCGATGCCAGGCATCGAAACCAGCAGCTTCAAGGTCAGTTGCTGTGTCCAGTCAGGACGTTCGCGGAAACGCCGAGCGATTCCAGAGGATTCAAGGAATTGGGTCATGTCCCAATCCTCTCGTACCGGCGGCCGAGGAATCGGGGAGTCTTGCAAGACGTAATGTAAGGCAGTATTCCGCCGCACATCATGCACGTTGATGGTACTTCCGGCAGAGCGCAGCGCGGCCACAAACATTGGTAGACGCCAACCCGCTGCGAGGTGTATGGGCAGTAATCCGTCTTTTACCCGGAAGATATTGACGTTGATACCAGCGTCCAGTAATGCAAGGAACGAGGACCAGTTCTCCTGCTCAATTGCTTTACACACCAACGGAGACTGAGCTCTGAAATTCCCCGCATGTTCGTGGCGAGGTAAAGGAGCTCGGGGGTCGTAGCTCGGCAGGAAGTCAGTCTTCCCTGTGGCATAAGCGAGTCTGTATAGCACATGACGAATAATATAACCCTGAGAGTACTCGGCAAGGTCGATCCAAAGGTTCACGGAGGTAAGTTCAGTGAAGTTTTGTGTATAGTTCAGCACAAAATCCAAGGCATCCGTATCACCAGCTCGAACGGTAGTCTGAAGATCCGAAGGCGCCATCTCTGTTTCCGCTTTCAACCGTTGGCCGTATTGGCGAAACAACAACTCGAAGCACTTGGGCCGTTTGATCCGAATGGACAATTCGAATAAGATCCTGGCTTCTGTCCGGGATCTCTCAGCCTCGTCAGAGTCGCCTTGGAGGCTTTCCGGAGGCAGTTCCCGTAGCAAAGTTTCCGCATCATCGGCAAGAACGACATGTCGGCGTGGGGCCAGAAGATCCCACATCTTTGTCGTTTCATTGGCGAGGTCCACGTTCTTAGGCGCCATCTCTGGATATATGGCAGCGTTCACGTTTCGACCCACGAAGTTAGACCACGTAATTTCTTGCTTTAGCCAAAACAACTTTGCGTACTCAAGATCGCGCATCCCGTCCGACGAGCAGTACATGTTGACGAATCTCGCCAACAATCGGGGATGCATCGGATACATCATATGGGTCGCGTCGAGTAGAATGTCAGAGATATACCACCGGTACAGATCCGGCTCACCAAGCCCATCGGGTAAGCTGAAACTTTGAACTGTGCTGGCCCAAAGGGCCTGGTGTCGTGCAGAGAGGACACGAGTAAAATCGTCACCGGTGCAGTCCGGATTTACCTGCGCCATGGCAAGGCTGTCGTTCCACCGTTTGGCCAGGACTGCGTTTTTCTTGCAGCCAAAGCCTTGTCCATAGCAGATCGACATGATCTTGCGATGCTCGGACCAAGGATTGGCATGCTCAGCTTCTGCCCTCATTCGTTGAAATAGTACCCGTCTGACCGCTGGTGGCATGTCCTACATGCAGCAACACTGAGATGCAGCAAACACGTGGTTAAATGCAAATCGTACTCACCCTAGTTGGATGCGCTCTCTCTTGTTCCCCAACAGCAGAAGCCTTCGTATAGAAGGAGACCATATTGTTCCGAGTGCTTCTAGATGACTGGTGTCTATCGGTGCTATAGGGCGTCTGATCGTGTAGGGGGTCGGGGCTAGAGTCCAAGTCAGAACATGTCTACCTGCAATGACAATGCACCCACAACAGGAATCTCTGGAATATGATTACAGGCATTCGTCTCAATGGATCAGCTGTAAGCAAGTATGGCACGAGGTAAGTCTTGGGTAGAGATTGTTCGCTGTCTGGTGTTGGCGGTGTCTGGCTTATCGTCCTGTCGATCTACCACAGTATGTGTCAGTCATTCCAGAGTGGTTACAAGGACGTAGTTCAAAGCAGTCACCAGATCAGGATGTTCTTCAAACCAGCTCTTGTACAATGATGGCTTGAAAGCTTGATTCGCCATCCTTATCAAAGTCAGCCCGGCACTTCACACAGTCGTCCAAGGCATACGCAGCAGCACGGAATTCTGCCCACAAGGTATTCAAAAGCCTGTGACTAGCGTAGCGGCTAAGTGCAGGGACTAGGTCGTTGAAGTTCCGAGAGGGAGCAATGTCTCGGAGCGATGGCGTGCCACCTGGCGCCTTGGCCTCGAGCCGTGGCTCCTTTTCCGGATCGAAATCAAAAAGAATGAATGCAAGAACGAGCCCCAGGGAATACGAATCCTGGCATCGAAACAGCCAATCCCTCATCGTTGGAGGACAGGCTTTGTCATCCAAATCCCAATGCTAAATCCCCTTCAGTTAATAATTGTGCGGACAATACAGCGAGCGGGCTTCTGACCTCGGGGGCACGCCATGGATGAGTACTGCCTCGAACTTCTCGTTCAACGTCTGGTGATGAAACCAAGTTAGCCGCACCCCTTGCGAACCCAAAATCTGCTATTTTGGCAGTTAGGGAACCGTCAGAATTGCGAAAGAGGAGTATGTTGTCAGGTTTGATATCGCCGACCGTGACATCCGCTTTGTGTAGGCCGGAGATCCCGTGAGTCACCTCACTTGCAAGTCGTGCCCGCGTCTCCGGCGCTGTTAACGCGTTGGACAGCATAAAGGTCCTGAGATCTGTGACGGCGAGCTCCATCACTATCACAGGTTGCAACAGCGGCAGCCCCAATTCATCTTGAGGCTGGCCGTCCTCAAGGTCTCCTTCTGACTCTTCGGTGAGCAATTCGGGCTTCAATGAAATAGCATGGATATCGATGATGTTAGCGTGCCGGCGCAGGTCTGGATGTGTCATTACCCTTAACTCCATGCCGGTCTCCT